TATATGAAACAGAAAATGTTCTATAGAAATTTGTATAGAACAGAAAATGGGGACAAAACTTCTTTTCCAATACCATGAAATGATTTTATCGAAATATTGGCTTTGATAAAAGAAAGTGATGACGTCAATGTTTACAAAGTGATAAATTTTCTTCGATATCAGCTTTATTCAAAATAGTTAGAGTTGCTACAAACTAGGTACAAATATTACAATTGACAAACAACTCTTTCCATCTAAAGCCAGATGCAGATTTATACAATATTTGCCGAATAAACTTGACAAATTTGGTATTAACTGTACCACTTACATCTATTGTAAGAAAGTAATAAATCAAAATAAATAAATACAAAAATATTCTATTATTACGTTTTTTTCTAAACCAGTTATTTTGACTGGTTTTAGTAGAAATAGCTTCGTCTTAACTGTCGGTAATTCTGGTGTCAATAATGCTTCCTATTTTCGCCAACTTTACTATGTTTGCCATTTTCAATATCCCCAGACCACCATGACTCTTGTCTGTGTATGTCATGGTTGATGGATGCAAGTGCAGGATCTTCTTTATTACCTGCTTGACCTCATAGTCTATTTGGGCCAGGGCGCCTATTGACGGTGATGACTAAGCGGTAGATATATCTGGGTAGCAAGAACGTATTGAGTTTAACTATCTGGTACGGCTTTAGGGTTAGTTTTTGTATACTTAATGCCGCTTTTTTTTTTTTTAGAAGGTGGAAAAATGCGTTTATTTATAATTATTACGCACACCGGACTGCTGTAGTTGTCCGGTAGTGTGGGATTCACGCTTCGCGCATACCCACTAAAACTCCACCTTGAGTTATGCTTAAGAAAGCAGGCAGCACCGTAGATCCTAAAACCTCTTGCTCCCTAGCCGATTCCAGTTCTTGGGGTGGTGAACTTCCGCATGGATGTTGCGCGGTTGAATCTCCTCCGACGATGACCCTAGTGGATAGGATCCTCAGTTCTGTCTTCTTTATAATGTTGTTCTGTGTCAACTCCCTCGCCGATTTAGAACTCCACACTCCACGGAAGTTGATAGTTGCGGATGTAGTATCCACAGTATCAACTCCGTACTTCTCCTTTATGGCACTTTCGAGTATCTTGTACTTTTGGACCTTGTGTTCATGCGCCTCAGCTAGGCTTATTTGGTCAGCTACCACTTGAACATCAATGACCAGTGCTGAGGTTCTGGACACCGCTACGATATCGGATTTGCGTATACCGTTCGGTGTTTTAAATTGTGGCTCTAGGTACACATTCTCGAAACGCTTGTCCAAGGCTCTCTTCATGTATGAAATGATGGCGTTATGCCTTTCAATTCGAGCCTTGTGTGTTCGATGACACTGTTGGAGAACATGTGCAAGCGTCTCGATTGCGTTACAGCCAGCTCTGCACGTGCGGTCAGATGGTCGGCCGCAAGAGGTGCGAGACCTCGTTGGCATTGCATTTATCCGGAGCTTGATGGCATTTATGTAGTCGCTCCCGGATAGCAGTCTGTTCCCTGCGGTAACCCACTGATGTTGTTGTAGAACGTTACCAGATTCCTTGAGGCCATGTCCATCGACTGAGCTGTAGAGTCGATCCTTCCATCTCCTGTCGATCATACAGGTGTTAGTGTACAGTGAGCCTTTCTCAGTAAGTCGATGAACAGCTCTTTGGATTTCCTGTGAGAGATAGGGGTCAGTCACTAGAACACCCTTAGACAGTTTTTCTAGTCTCTCTTTTCTTTTGAGAGGCATAAGCCATCTCATAGCAGGGATCGACAAGTCGCCGTCTTTATAGTTGGCGTGGAAGTAGGCGGTTGTTATGTCGTGCGGAAGGCTGAGCCACTTCCTAACCGCAGAGCGTGTAAGCGAGTCAATCTTTTTGAGTCTGCTCAAAGTAGTGTTACCTAAGACCAGAAGGTGGTAGAGGCTTGGTAACACTACTACTCGCAAAGCGAAAAGCTGTTGTTGTGGCTTTAATGGTGCCTTAGTAATCTTGTCCAACGCCACGCTGAGTTGCTCCTCAGGCTTACAGGAGGTGCGCCCCTCCGGTGTAAAGGGGACACCCAAATATTCCTATTGACTCTCACGGGTGAGAGCTGGGAGTACTCGTCCTAGACAGGAGAATTTTGTGTTTCGGTCCACGATGGACTTTTTCGCGTGCGGCACATTTCTTATGGCCAGTGAAAACGACTTCGCAGCGTTGATGCTCAATCCACATTGCGCCAGGAAGTCAGTTGCCGTTTTTATCGTTTGTTGCAATCCACCTGGTGTGGAGGCAACAAAAATCAGGTTATCGGCAAAGGCGAAGGCATTAAAGTGTTCTACGCCTATGCTGACACCGATTTCTGGTGGTATTTGGTGGAGGAGCCTATCGATGATCATATTAAAAATGATGGGGGATAGAGGGTCTCCTTGCTTCACTCCACATAGCGGCTTGAATTTGGCCGACTTCCAGCCATCACATGCCAGGTAAGTGTGGCTACAATTGTAGACGTCCATGATGTAGTCGATCATGGGTTTTGGAAGGCCTTTCATGAAGAGTGTCTCACTGATGGTTTTGTGAGACACTGAGTCAAAGGCCTTCGCTACATCAATGGACGCCAGATACAGCGGTTTGAAATGCTACCGGTGGTATTTCAAGATTAGATTTAAGTTGAATATATTTTCCGCACATCCGTCCTTATGTAGAAACGCCTTTTGCCTAGGGTCTAGCTTGACCAGTTTTGTTAGGCGGCTAGCCAAGATCTTATGGAATGTTCTAACCAGGATAGACATTACCGTTATAGGGCGATAATGGCTAGGATCCTAGGCTCCATCCTTTTTGGGGATGAGCGTGGTCCTGGCTGTTGATAGATTTTGTGGCAGTTTCCCGCATGAGATTGAATATTTTTGTTAGTAATTCTAGCAGGACTGCCTTAAGCTGCTGAACTGTGAGACCGTCTGGACCTGGGGACGTCTGAACGTTCGGAAAAGACTTCTTTATCTCGCCAGGTGTTAGTGGAGTCCAGAGGTCATTTATTTCTGGCCGAATGGATCCCAGAGCAAGGGATTGGTTTTTCGCGTCGGACATGACGTTCTGCCAGAAGTTGGTCATCACTTCTTTGGTCGGCGAACTATCCGTTCTTAAGGATTTAAGGATCATTTTGACGCATTTGCCTGGGTTTTTGGCCTTGAGTCCTTGCGTAGTCCGCCCGACGTTTTGTCTTCGATATGTCGAGGTCGATATATCTCGACGATATGTCTTCGTTGTTTATTTTTAATTCTGGATCCTTGACATATAAGTCTTATTTTTTGTCGTTATCTAAAACGTAGAGCACTTATCGCTTGCGACTTGCATGCCCACGTTCTCTAGATATGTGACCATTTTCTTTAGTTGTCTCGTTTCTCTTTTATTCTTATTCTCTAGGAGCACCAGGTTGTCCGCGAAGGCTAATATCGAGACATTTTCGTGTCTCATATCGACGCCTTCGGTCATTTCATCGATCTTGCTGATCATGGACTCCATTGCTAAGTTAAAGAGCAACGAGGACAAGGGTCCCCCTGTTTATCTACTCGGAATAGATTTATTGTGACCGTTTCTTTGCCTCTACAATTTATTTTCGTACATCTGTCTGATGTACTTGCTTATCATTTCTAGAATATTTTTCGCTATTAGGCCTTCCCCTATCGTCATATAGAGGACCGTATCGAAGACCTTTGACACAATCCATTATCGTAATTATTCCACTTCCGTTCATTTTCATGTTCAAGAGCGCTTTACTCAGTACTGCAATGTTACTCTTACATCCATCCTCTTTAGTGAATCCCTTTTGTCTGTGATGTTGCATAATGTACGTCCTTATTTTCGATCTAACGCCGAGAATAATCTTCCATTAGCGACCCGATCTTGATAGGCCATCAATTCCTAGCTTCTTCCACATTTTTCCCAGGTTTGGATATTATTATGGTGCGATTAATTCTCCACTCGGACGGGTAATGTTCGCACAACATTAGCAAATTGTAAAACTTTTATAACGTTTGTAAAGATCCTTTTTTCCGGAAGATTTTGCTAATTTTGTCAATTCCTGGTGCTGTGTTGGCTCGTATATTTTTAACTTTAATATAAGGTTCTCCATAGTGATAGAGGATTAAATTTCTATTTCCAGCGTTGCGGCCCGTTCTCTTAACTTTAATTTAATGTTCTCGGGACCTTTAAGGCCCCAAAGCTTCGTGTAATATAATACGGTTGTACTTCCGAAGCACTTCAACCTTTATTCTCTCGCGCTTGTTGAAGCCCATAATGTCCATCAACTTTTTTGGATACTTTTTGAATAATTCACTTTGTGTTGCGTACCGCGTTTTTTTTTTGCGTCCATTATGAGTATCTTTTCTTCGATTAATACCGCCTCTTTTTCGATGTTGCTTTGAGCTCGTACAGTTGTGTGGTTTAGTGATGCCTTCGTTGAGCTTTCTAACGAATGCTTATCACTCTCGAGTATGATAGCCGTTGACAGGTGCCTCATTTCTGCCGCTCTTTCTTCATCCGTTTGGAGAAGTTTCGATCAAGACAGTCGCAATATAAGTTTCTACTTCAGTCATTAAGCTAAAATAGAGGTCCGAAAATCGATCTCTCTCGTCGCTCTGCGGTGTTTCCATCTCAGTACCTGCAACTGCTATTTCGATTTGATCCTAAAGCTTGATGAATCTCTCAAATAACGATTATTGAATTTCTAAGCGTTTTTGGACATTTTTGATCGGCATCGATTTCATGGATTCATTTACAAATGTTTTGAATTTTGTTAATGTGGACTTTACTACACTCTGCTCGGCGATCAAATTTCTTAGTTGCGGATCCATTATATCCAGAGACAGATAACTTTGGTCGTGATATTTTCCTGTTCCTTCCAAGGAATTCTTCTATTTGATCTCTTGATCGAATGTGTTCATGTTATCCCATGTACGATGATTCGTACACTTGTTGAATTGAGCTTACTACTGTTTCAAGTGTTCTAACTGATGAGAACACGGACAACTGGTGTCGGTCGTATGCTGCTTCAAGAATCTGGCTCGAAGGACCAAATGTTAACCTTTTACGGACAGGGAGTCTCGGAAGGATTTGATGAGAAAGTGATATACGCTTGAATATTCGGTTGTAACACTTGTATATTTTATACTACATAAACTTCTGGTGAATAGTTTTCGAGATATTTATTAATGCCTGTTTATTGATAGTTTTAGTTTCCAATTTTAAAATTTAGTATAGTGCGATACTTCTCAAAAAGAATACAAGAAAAGTCAACAGTTTCTACTTTTCGAGATCCAGATTTTTTTATTACTCTCTAACTGGACACTAATTGAGTGACTATTTAGGAGTCATTCGTTCTACACAATATCTATCTGTTTCAGACAAATTTTTAGTAATAAGACAAATACAAGAGCTGGCGTAACAAATATATATTATATAGTATATAATAACATAAACATAAATATAGAAAAAGTTTACAACATAACAGAGAATTTTTGCAATGTCTCGCTGATATTTTGGTCGACTATACGAAGCGATTACAATGTAAAGACTTTCTTCGACACTGTGGTAATGATAACTCCAATAATTAATAATAATATGACTATCCCGTTATTATTAATAACGGTACATAAGTACTTCAATCTTCTGCCGTGACTCATTGTCGCACCCATCTCCTATATGTACAAATGATTTCGTTGTTTGTTTCCTTTCTCCTTCAATTTTTCTATTTGAACAGACGATGCAGTCCTTGCATCTTCCATTTTCATCGTGACGAATGACGTGTAAGCGCCCATTCAATTTATCTATTTCACTAGAGGCTGATGGAGTGTTAGTTGTTTTAGATCCGTATCGAGTTGATCGACGAGTTGTCGGACAAACTTCAAATGCGACATTGGCTTTCACTTGTAGCTTTTTTCGACAGAATTTATACAATATTCACTGCACACATTTCAAGACCCCAAAAAAATAATTTTCTCCATCACTTGTTCGATTTGCGCATAAAGCAGTATGTGGAGGTATATTGTTGAACTCTATCTACTCCTCTTATGTATTTATTACAGTTTATTATTGCACTCGGTTTCTCAATTTGGACCTTGTACCTCGAGTACTCAACGTCGTTACAACTCTCTTATCTTTCCAAGATAATAAAATTTCATCAGATCTATATGCGGCAACTTTGTTGGCAGAAAATACTGGTTTCTTTTTTATTGCATCTGGTATATATTTTCTATTTGTCTGTGTAGTACCAGTTAAATAACATTTTCTTTTTTTTTTTTGCAACAGCGCATTTATTAGTATGCTGATGAAATATCTATCTGCAAATATGCTGTGTCCAACTTCAGAATGTGAATGTAAAACTGTTTGAGAAACAATTCTGGAACGAACGGATAGATCAGGTCTTATAAAATTTTCAGTCAAACTATCGTAATAGGATAGAATAGTTTGGATATAGTCGATATTAACATCAACTAACACATCCCCTATACGAATCCCCTATTTTGTAGAGTTTTTAGGATTGTACGTTATGAAACTTATTTTAACTTTATTACTGATTCATCAATAGATAATTCTCTACCTGGTATAAAATTTCGAGAAAATTATTCTAAATAATCGTGTGTAAATGTATTTTAAATAATTGCTCATTTTTTCAATTCTTGTTCTAATGTTCTGCATGGTTGTGGCTTTCTCATTTGTCAGGAGCATTAAATTTGAGAAAAATCTATCTCTTTTGAAAATTTCTCTAAAGTATGGTATTCTAGCGTTATGTGCAGTTGACCAGCATTCCTTCAAATTTGGAAGAGCTGCCGATATTCAATATTACTCCCAGAAATGCAAACATTTCAGTATCGGTAATATCAACCCAAGTATTCCAAGTTGAATGTATTGAAAGATTTTTGCTCGCTACTGTTGCATATTTATTCGTTTCTTCAATTATATTATTTCTTAGTTCGTTAGTAAAAAACAATTTGAAAAATTGAATAGGTTCGACATATTGCTGATCTGTCGGAAGACCAAGAGGTTTTGGTTCCAGTTGTGAACGGGATTTTTACAGCTTCTGTATCATGACTTGCGACGTTCCTCCATATGGAATAGATATTTATTTCATCTTTTTCGTTTCTTTGTTTCACTTTTGTTTTCGCTATCGCTGGAAATCTCGAAACGTCATTTTACCGGAATACGTTGAATCTCACTTCCGCTATCAGAATCAGAATTTCATTTATTTTCATCCTTGTCACTTGACTCATAAAAGTCATAATCACTGCTGATGTCATAAAGTGTCCTTGTTTCTCTTAGATATTGTTAAGTTAGTAGGATAACTTTTATAAATAATAATCTAAATAATAGTAAATATTATTTATTGAAACTAAGATTACAATTCAACAGTTATAGTCTAAATAATAATATATAAATATAATAAACCTTATATGTAACTCTAAAGGTAAATGAATTGTTGGAATATCAGAGATATATGTCGTTTTAAAAGGTTTAAAAAAACAAACTTATTCCGCCACAGAAAGCCAGATTGAAGCTCTCAGACTGTTATGAAATTGAAGTACCAAGATAAGACATTAAATGAATCATACATTCGAAACCTGAATAATACATAGATTCAGGTTCAGAGCGGTAAAAATACGCGACACGTGTTCGCAAAGGGTTAAAATACTTTATCTGCTGGAGTCACGTATGCGTGATTTCCGCGGTCAATCGGCGGGCGTCACATATTCGTGATTTTGCCAACGCTTTTCAACGCGTGTTTACAATGTAATTGTTTCTGATTATCGCAGACGTTTATTTAGTACACAAGGAGATAAAAATAGTCAAATTTCATCGACCATGGTAGATATAGTGCTTTTCATTTGGACTTTGTCTTTTAGCCAGAACTTTGTCGTTCAGACCGCGTTGTGTAATGAAATTCATTGTAAAATATTTTACGGCACAATTAAAAAAATTTAAATAATTTAAATGCCTAAATGGTGTGCAGGAAAAAGGACAAAAATTTACACACTGATTGTTTATCAGATTGTGATAATAACAGTGACGAAACGACAGATGAAGATAGCAAGAGGGATGTATCTGTGATTGTTAGACGTTTTAGATCGATCCCATTGCAGAATTATTCTGATAACGAGACAATGACAATACTAGTGTATAGGTACAACGTGATAGTGTTCCACAAATGCATGATTTTGAAGAAAATTCAAGAATATAAACAACAGGTCAAGATTTAAATACTCTAAAACATGCCTGGAATTCATTATTGGAGACGATTTGATTGATACAATTGTCATAGAGTCAAATAGGTATTATCATCAAAATAACTATCGCGATCGTGGCACAAATAAAAATAAAATTTAAACTGACGTAATAAATACGGAAATGAAAAAATGTCTGGGCTTGATTAGTCTGATGGGTCTAATAAAAATACTTGAGATGATTATTGGTCAACAGATCCATTATTTCGTGCAAATAGCATTGGTTAACAACTAACAAGAGATAGATTCCGGCAAATATGGAAATACTTGCATTTCAGTAATAACGAAGATCAGATAAAATTAAATTGGTCTTTACATATTTTTGAGAAAAGTAAACGTTTTAACAGAAAATGTATACAAACCAGAAAAAGAACTTTCACTTGAATAAAAGTATTATACCACGGCGAGGTAAACTCTCATTTCAGACAATTCAGCAAAGATCACGAAATATGGAATTCTAATACGCATGGTTTGCGAAAGTAACACAGGATATATTTGTAATTTTGATGTATATTGCGCACAAGGACATAAACTACATTGTACAATATATTCATTACTACAGCCATGTTTTAATTTTTGGCATATGTCATTTATGCATTTAATGTTATGACGGCATGTCATAACAGCGTGCAAGTTGCAGAGAAATTATTCAAAAAGAAAACAGATATTTGTGGAACGATACGAAAAAATAGAGGTGTACCAGCTTGCCTGAGAAATATACAGTTGGCAGAAAATTCAACAATTTTTCTTTAGAAAAAATAATGTGCTTTTGCAAGCGTGGAAAAAAAATGTTACACATGATCTCTGTGGCGTACACTAAATCTGCATATTTTACGAAAATTTTATCGATAGCTCGCTACCTTCATTTTAATGAATAGCAGCTGATTCAAAGATAAAGATCGTGCAATTAAACAAATTAGGATTTGATAGATTTTTATTCACTCGTCAAGAATAAGATTTGAATTGCCTTTAAAGATATTTTTGTCTGTTCGAATATATGGCTTTGTAACGTCGGGCGATCGATATTAATCAGGAGCTCGCGCGAAATATACGCGTCAATAACCCTTGTTCCAAACAAAAACACGCAATAGTTCGACAATAATCTTCACACCTTCCATCTTCATAATCAACAATAAACAGACAGGTGTAAATAGAAACATTGAGCCTATAATTCGATTAAGGACGCGATCGACAGTGTGAACAGAAACTGATTCCGATACCGGTGGTTAATCACATTAGTTGTACCCTAGTAAGACCATAGTAAATGAGTTATAATTAGATTCGATATCTATTTTATCCCTTTATTTTATCCCTGCTTTTAAGGTTCTCGTTATTCAATTATGGCGGAGGTGCTGACATAGCCGCACAGCTGTAACGAACAAGCAAAGGAGTCCAGCACGACGGAATCAGCAGAATTAACTGCACGGTCTCCCAATCGTGTGATTAACCCTTTCGCTTCGGCTGTCCAGTCCGCCGAAGTACTATCACTGAACAGAAGCGCGCGCCGTAAATACGTGCAGTATGCGTTGTTGCTGTATATAAATTTTTCTGCGTCTTAAATAACAATTTTGCTGAGTAAAACAATCTTTGCTACAATATAATTTACATCTTTGGTATGAAAACATTTATAACTTACAAAGTTACAGGTAATATTTTAATTTTGAATTAAAATAGAAGTCGTCGCGGCGCCCGTCGCGTACCCACAAGTCATATTGTGCGCGCCGCTTATAAGCGGCGCTCGAAGCGAAAGGGTTAAGCACCCCAGTTAATGCCGTGAACGCGTCGGGGCGGAATTACCAGTGCCGGAAGCTGGTTCGGGAATACTATCTACCTGCAACAACTAGCCGCGAAACGAGTAACCAATTTCCTACCCTTAGTTAATTCCTCCCGAAGTTAATTCCCATCATGGTGGGACCTAATCAAGAAGAAAGCCACGGGTCCCAGCAATAGCCGGGCGCACGCACCGGTTGTGCTAAAGGGCTTTTAACATGAGAATTTAGTAATATAAAAGTAATGTGAAGTATTATACGTGTGTTGGTGGTGATTGTAGGAAAAAATTTTCAAAAAACCTGCGGTGCTTGTTTGTGATCTTGATTGTGAAGCCTGATCTTAATTTTTAGTGGTATGTTGCTGATCAGTGGGTTACGATGATTTGGATGATATGCTGTTGTAAATATATTCCTGAATGGTTGGTATGTTTGCAGTGGTGTGTAATTTCTTAGTTGGGCTATCGTAAAGATTCTTGAGAATAATACGGAGAAATTTATTTTGCATCCGTTCTTGCATCTTGTTAATATGTGTTTTTGCAGCTGCTCAAATTTGTTGTCCATAAGTGACGATAGATACTGATACATGTTTTATCAGAGATTTAATTTTATATTAGTCTTGAATTTACTATTTCTTGGAATGAGGAAATGAAGTATGCGGAGTAAGAGGTAACTTTGACTATTTAACAAGCAATGTTTCCCCCGGGGACATTACCCCCGGTATAGTTACATTAAGGTACAATCCTTGCTGCCCATAGGACAGGTATGTGAGCGTGATAATTTAATAATTGCAGGGCTAGGGGCGCATTCGCTCGGCCCTGCAATACGTCGCTCGCTTGCATTCAGGCGTGGTTAGCCAGTTAATTATAAACTATAGACTGCAGGGACGATGGCATTACGCACACCGGCCTGGCATGCACGTGATACAGATTAATTTAAGATTTGAAAAGTTGCAGGTGCGTGCGCCCGCCTAGGGATAGGATAAGAAGGGGAAGGCCGGCGTTGATGCACCAGCCTTTCTCTTCACTGGCGCCACGCGGGATATGATGACATAATTGCATAAATAGTGTGCAGTGTTGATCGAATAGATTAAAATAACAACAATTAAAGGGGAATATAAAATCGTAATTGTTCGGAGATGTTAGCGCGCGCGGGCGTGCTTTCCGTGCGGCCGACTCCTGCACGCAGTATTGTCGAATTCCTGAGACGTGCTCTACGTACACGTCTCGGGACCACGCGATGGTCTCCGAGACTATAAGTTTTCGCATTAATGACGCGTAATTTTGCAAAATGCGCAGCAGCTTGCAAATGTTATCGTTGTTTGGATGCCAGGCGCCCAGGGCGCCTACGACGAAGCCGTCGACATGGACGACGTGACCGAATCTCGCTAACGCGTCCGCGAGAGGCTGGTATTTTTGGACTTTCTCCAGTCTCGCTTTTTCGATCGTTTCAAATTTATTTTCAAAAGCTACGGTCACGTCTATCATGATGACGGTTCTCGACGGCTCGTGCGTGATGACTGAGTCAGGCCGCAGAGCCGCGAGGTCTCCGTCGACGCCCGGGACGCATTGACCCCCTCCCCCGGGGAGCCTGGAGGCCGCGGCAAGCCTCTCGACAATGGCGTTGTGCCGCAATTGCCGAGCGGCCGAATGTGGGCCACAGTGACACAACACATGGGGCAAGGTCTCCGACTGGTACCTGCACTTCCGACATCGCTTATCACCGTCGCCCCATCGACGCGCCCCATTTAAGGGGAGGCGCGTGCGGTGAATGAAGCGCCAGTCCGCGAAGCGCAGGTACTGATCTGTCCGCATGAAGCGATTGCTCGCTCCATGACGGGAGGTCGAAGACCTTACCCTGGTCCGGCTTCCTACGAAGCACGGACATGTAATCTTCTGAGACTGCGGCCCTCAGACGGCCAATGACTTGCCGCTTGGCGGCCGGAGG